TCCAAAAAATATGAATGGAGTGATAAATGACAAGTACAGGCTCATCATATTTTGTACATTTTAGATATGATTTATTCGGCAAACTTTCGAGCTGACGTCATCAAGTTTTTGGAGGGGATAAGCAAATATATTTTGACTAAACATTTATTATGCTCTTTATAACCTTAAAACATCTGCAAGATGTCAGAGCATTCCGTTTTGTAGTTCCTGATTAAATCAATAAAATATATTTGCGCATTCATTAATTTTTTTGAGTCACTCTGTATATGCAAATCCAAAAAATATGAATGGAGTGATAAATGACAAGTACAGGCTCATCATATTTTGTACATTTTAGATAAGATTTATTCGGCAAACTTTCGAGCTGACGTCATCAAGTTTTTGGAGGGGATAAGCAAATATATTTTGACTAAACATTTATTATGCTCTTTATGACCTTAAAACATCTGCAAGATTTCAAAGCATTCTGGTTAGCAGATTAAAAATTAAATTTCAAAATGTTGTTTTATAATTTTGATTTTTTTTCCAAAAATCTGGACGTTTCGGGTGAAAAGTCGATTCAGAGTTGTAAACTACATGTGTAGGACTATGTTATTTTATACAATTGAAAACCCATTTACTATGTACAATTTTGAAGTGACGTCATCGCTTTAGTGGTGGGGATGATTAGACAAATTTTGGTTAGCGTTTTACCATCTACATGATATTCTTAATATAAGTACAAAATTTCACAACAATCGGTCGAGTACTTTCGGAGATTATCTGTCTAATAAAAATCCGGGACAACAGACGGACAGACGGACAGACGGACGGACAGACGGACGGACAGACGGACAGACGGACAGACAGACGGAAATGGGAGACCTATTTCTTCGTCTTCTAGGGGTCATGAAAGATCGAGAAAACGTAAAAGTAGAGAGTCGGCCGACGGACTCGATTACAATACTTCCTTTGCCTACGCTCGGGAAGTAAAAATCATCATTACTACTTTCAAGTCCAGGGACAAATGCTTGCTACGGGTATTTGACCAGTTTATTTTGTTGTATGGACACCCAAAGGAATAAATATAGAAAAAATTTATAAAGACGAAGAAATATATGTAAAAAGATGGCAGATAAACTTGGCAGATTTTACTTTGGCGCATTATTTCCCGAAATAATTGATTCAAGAAGAAGGAGGAACCTGCCTTTGCGAGAGATTTTTTTTGTACTTTAATAATTTATTAGGAGTACATTTTTCATCACCAAGACTTGCATATTTTTATTATAAATATATTTTGAAAATGATCTCTCGGCAAATGAAAACATATACGAGCACTTTTTTTGAGTAAACAATGAAGGGAGGAGTTACTGGGCGTAGGGCTTTTTTAAAACACCTCATTTCTGGGATAAGTAGTAGATACACTTAGCTACTTATACGTGTTAAACAAAAGCTGTATTTCATATATTTTTTATTATTATTATAAATATGTTTATTAGTTTTATTAATTAAGAAAGCAAAATATATATGTATTAACAATAATATTACAATGAATTTTTAGTAATCATGTGTATTGAATTCAGGATCCTGAGTGGAGTTAAAATATTATAGTTCCCCAGTTTTAATTAGGTTTTATGATAGTACCTCATTGCGTAAATTTAATTTCCTTAACAATAGATTACTACGGCCGGTCCTGGCGGCTTGTTATAAAACTGAGTTCCTTGCCATAAATTAGAAAAATCAGCCGAGAACGCTAACAATCAGCTTATGGTAGAGCAGGCAAAGTACTGAACTAACTGCTCAAATTCTGTCGAATTGATACCCATTTTTTTCCATAATTGTTAGTTTTTGTTAAAAACTCTGCTAACCAATAGATCATTAATTTTCCTCTGATATTCCTGTTAAAATTATTCTACGTATTTTGCATTAATTTGTGGTATATTTTGATTTTAATAAACACATTATTATTTAAACAAATTGTACCACTAACAAACATTTAATGACTCTGCGCGCTGTAAAAAGTGATGTTTTATCTATGTGCGAATTTTCAAGCGATTCTATGATGGTTATGACTCAAAAAACTTGAAAAGAAAACATACAATGGTGCTTTTTTTACGATATTTCTCAGCCATATGTTTTTAATTGATTGAACTGGTCTCTGCGCTCTAGAATATGAAAAAAGCTGCAGTTTGATGTATGATACATCTATATTAATATCATTTTTTCATACAAAAAACCAAAAAAATGTTATACCTCGTCTAGCGAGTGCCCTTAAGTCTAGTTCTTACTTAGCATTCCTGACTAAACCTTTCATGTACAAGTAAAAATGACTTTCATTTTAGTACGAATTTGGTCTGAAACACCCATTTAAAAAATCACAATTTAAAGAACGATTTATTTCACAACAAAAAAAAAAGTATTCTACAATAAAAAATTACACTTCCTAATGCAAAATCTGATTCACTTTTGGTGAAGAACTGACCCACAAACTACTTTCTTGATGGGCCATTTAAATAGTCCTCGGACACTGTGAAGTAGACTTTCTTAAGATCTTTGTGGTTCAGGGCCCAATAGCCAACACAGTGCTTCGCTCCCATCAGTTTGTTGTAAGCTTTCATGAAGTTGTACCTCAACATTAGCTGTTTTTAGGCTGACTTGAGGATTAAAAGAATTTTCAGAGACAACAGCTCTGACCTCAGCTGATTCACTTTTCTTTAGATGTACGTCCCAAGAACGCAAATTATTGGTCCAAATTAAATTATAACGTCCGTGTAAGGCAAGTGTAGCCACATGGTGACATACAAATGCACCTCTTGGGGTTTCACATGTTGCCTCTCTTAAGGAATATCTATGCATAATAAAACAAAATACGTCATAATTGTACTTGATACAGAATTTATCACTATACATTAACTTACCATAACCTTATACCTGGCTATTTCGCATTCTAGCTCGAATAAACTCTTCAAGCACATTTAATTCAGTATACCAATTGACTTTCATTACATTATTTGACTGCAAAGAATTCTCTCCGTTCACAATGCATCTCTGATCGTCAACAAAAAAAAATTGGTAATTGCCCCTATTGTTAACACATGTCTTTCTGTCATTATTAATAACAAATACAAAAAAACAAGTCCACAGACATATACAACCTAATATGAACCAATATCACAGAACTAATATTAATATATCATTCAATAATTGTGATTATGATTGTTTGTTGTGATGAAAATACGAAATCAACTGTCACATTTTGGGGATTTTCACCATCTAAACGTCACTAGCCCCGCAAAATATTCGCGTTCTTTTTCTGTCCGGCGTAGTTCTGGATTTTCCGTTTCACTCATGCGCAAGGCATTAGAAACGATATACGTTACTTTGATGAACATCGTTGTTTTTAATTTGCGATATTTCTTTAACAGGGGCATTTTATATATTTAAACCTTTAGTAACAGGAAGACAATTGTACAGCCTTTATCGCTTGCCGCAAGAACTAGTTAAGATTTCTACCTGTGCCCTGTATTTTGTCTGTAAAATCAAGCTCCCATAAGAAACCCAAGAAACTGCCGCGCATTCTAAATTCTAACCTTACTTGAGTGGTCAAATTGACCTAAACAAAAAGAACAGGTACAATTTATTGACCTATGTGAAAACGGTCGTGACCAATTCAACTTAATCCGGATTTTTAAAGATCATGCCATGATTACGCACTCTACAACTCCATCCGTTCTAAACGAAGTATAGTGTCCTTTTTTAGCTTCAGGTTCAGAAATCAAACAATTAATCAGATACATAAAGAAAAAGCAACAAACAGTCCTCTGTTGACTCATTCGCGCTAATGAATAAAATAAATATTACAAGCAGGGGCGGCTGGTCAGGGGCGGCAGGGTCGGCCACGCCGTACCAGTCATTTTAAAATACTTAGTAAGCGTTGAAATTAGAAAATAAAAAAAGAAATAAAGTTTGAATGTACGTTAGGATAGATCATATATATTAAAAATATATTTTATTATGTTGTAGGTACAAAATAAAGCATTTGTTGCTAATTTTAAATGCTGATAAACACGCTTTGCCGGCGAGATTTCGGCAAGCCGTACCCAGGAATGCATTATGCTCGATGTTTCGACTTCGTAGCAGCTTACGGTTTCATCGTTCTCTTTGTCTAGTACACTGTAGTAGACAAAGACCTGGCGGAACGTATGTTGTGCCAGGTCCGGCGAAATCCTCCTTCGCCGTACCCAGCAACGCGAATTTAGTTTTTAAAACGCTTAATATTTAAGATAGCTAACCAAATTACAAAACAATAACGGCTTCGATGTTCTTCAGTGCATACTATTTTTTTTTAAATAATAATTGTCGATTTAATACATTTTTCTGTCTATGAATAATAAACGAAAAAAATTACATTAAATTATCTAAAATTTTATTTTTCGTACATAACTTAGCTACACCATAAATGCGCTTTTTCTGTATTTTTAGCATCTAAGCGTTTTCAGATATTTCAGAAACGAATTTAAAGTTTTAAATCATTTTAATTTTTCAATTATTCAATTAATTTATTTGACAATTTGTCATATACATTAAAAATAAATAAATGTAAATGAAGATAGTTAACAGTTGGTACTTTTATTATTACTTTTTTTATATTTTTTAACTGCATGTCATTATTTAATTATTACTATTTAATTGTGGATGTCCGGGGTCGGCAAGCCGTATAGCCGCCGGTCGACGCGGAACTCAGTAAAAATAATGTTTTCGGTGGTTCTCAATTAATGATAAAGCAGAACAAGTAGAATTAAGGATTAATAGTATTTGGAATCAAACTGACATAGTCAATTTCCTATAAAAAATTATTTTAACAGGTCGAAACATTTGAGATGTTTTGTACATCCTGGCACGTAAAATGTCAGTGGTTAATGAGTAGCAGCCATACATTACGAAAATATATAACACCAAGGTGTAGACTCAAAATATTTGGCCGACCCGAAATTTTGACCCACCAGCCGCCACTGATTACAAGAGTAATAAACCTCAGTTTCCACGAAAACTTTTAAAAATAGAACATAAGTCAGTCGTGCGCAGGATGTAGAGAGCCTGCATTTACACAAAAACGCGCAGTGTGATCAATCTGGTTAACATTATATGGTACAGGAAACAACACGTCCACGTTTTTAGAATGTGCGGCAATGAAGCGTCTGCGAAATTACGTATTTCCACGAAAATCTTGTCCTCTCATAGAAAACATAACAATTGCCATCAGACATGGTTATCTGGACAGAGTAAAAGACCTTTTTTCAAAATCGTTAATCAGAAAACGAAACGAAGCAGGTTTTACGTTGCTTCAAGAATCGGTTCTACGCAATCGGTAACGTACAGTTTTTTTTTACAAATATACTTTAGAGTAATCTTTATTCCAGGTGGTCGATCTTCGAGTATCTGTTACAGTTCCACGACAAAGACGATCTAGAGGTTCGCAGCACCCTTGGTGAAACAGCATTAAGGTACGCACTTGACCACTATAACAAAGAAGATGAGTACTACGCACTGCTGTTAATTGAAAGAGGTGTTTCGCTGAAAGAGAAAGATCCAAAGAAGCCTTATCTACACCAAGCGGTTAAATTTTCATCCAGAATAACAAAAGTTTTGCTGGACAAAGGAGCGGACGTGAACTTGGAAAGCCGATATGGTATTACGGCGTTACAAAAGGCACTTTTTAATTCCAGTAAACAAAATAACGACGAAATTATAACTACTCTGCTGTGTTATGGTGCTGATCCATTTAGCGAATCGGCAGCCGGACATAATGTGTTTGAGAGTGCTGTAATACATGGACAACCTGCTTTCATTCAAGAACTTTTATTTTTATACACGTTTGATGAACATATACCTTGTGATATCATGTTTAAAGTTTTGTTAATACTTGCGAAGCAAAAATCACCCATGTTCCACACAATCCTTGAACGTGGCATGGATATTTTGGTAAACGAGACAGAAAAAGTTGATTTTGCTAAACTTTTGTATGATTTGTTGGCTCCAGACAGTGATTATTTGGAAATTCTTGTAGAAAAGTGCAACACGCTTATATCTGATATTTTCGAAAACTTGGTGTTTTACAGTTCTACTTTATATCCGCCGTCTTGCATTGGTGAGTATAGGAAATACACATACGAGGAAGTGTTTAGCACAAATCTTAGTCTGCGAAAATTAATTCTTCTTCTTGAAAAAAATGCAATGGTGCGTCAAAGTGTCATTGATTTTATTAGTACCCTAAAGAGTGACACACTTTTTTATTGTATATCTGAAGCGAACAGTGAATCAATAACAACCGAATTATTCATCTACTTAATATTACACGGTTTGAAAATTGAAACCACAACCCTGGAAACGGTTTTTTCGAAATATGGTTACAACGATTTATTTAAGCTTCTTTTGCACATGGATCTTGAAGATGATATAGAAAAACGTGATAATAAAATTTTATGGAACCACCGTTCGAGGATACATTATGGTTTGGATTTATTTCCGCGGTGGACCTACCAGTTTGAAAATTTAGTGTTGTTTTTTATTTTTTATGTCATTCCGAATCTAGAACTTAAACCTGATAGATGTAATTTTTACAACACTAATGGTCTTTTAGACTATTTTGCGTGCTCTGAAGTACATAAATTATTGTCAAAACTTGCTAAATCTGGAAAACTATCTGACGAGACTCTAAAAAGGTTGCAAAATCATCCACGTGTACCTCTTCTGACTGAAATAGCGCGAAATGTTTTTAGAAAGTATTTTATGTATAAATGTAATATTACAACAGCGAAGCAGTTTTATTCTCTTCTTAATGGACTTCCTATCAGTAGCACTCACAAAAAAGTCATTACTTTAGAAACGAAACTTTATCAGATGTAAAGTACAAACTGGCTTTTTAATTGTAAAAACTTAACGCTTTTGTTTCTCGCTTCGTTATAATGTTCAGTATTTTGTTCGAATCTTAACTTTGTTGTATTTTTGTAAAAAATCTGTACCTACATTAAAATTACACACTTAAGTGGTAGATTTATTTTACCCGTTAGACTTACTTGTATACTGTACATTCTTCAGTTATTATTTTTAAGATATTCTGCCTTTTTTCTGAAACTCATACTTTCTCTTTCTATGTTCACCTCTGTTCTTTTCTTCCTTTAGATTTTCGTCTCATTCCTGTCTTCAGTATTGCAAAATATTTAAAAAATTTATGATACTTAAGTATGATCCTACATAGTTCTTGTCTTCTAAGTTACTTACTTTAAGAATAATTCCAAAAGTTTTTTCATAAAAATAGATTTCATTGTCCATAACAGTAACACTTCGATTCTAGGAAGGAGATTTTCAGTAAATCGTTGCCACAAAGATCTGGATGATTTTCGTGGTAATTGAAGCCCTACTTCTTTATTTTTGTATTTGTGTAAAATCCACTTTAAATATCATACCTACTTATATTAATTTAATTTTTCCTCTATTGTTTTTGTCTATCCATTTACGGTTGTTCCAATAGATATCCTTTCTTTATTGTTAACTTCGTTCCTTTCTTTTTTCTATTTCTGTTCACTGTCGCTTCGTTTTTTCCACTAGTTCTATTAAGTTTATTTCAGTGTTAATTAATTTTGCTCTGCTACCTGTATGCATTTTTTCCTTTTATTTAGATTTAGATTTACTTTCTTTAATAAAAAAGTTAGTTTGTGTTAACCCAAACATGCCAACAAATTGATCTAAGTGAAAACAACTACCCAACGTGGGGGCGCATAGCGACAAAAGTGACATGCGCTTCCTCGTGAGAATCTATTTGAGCCAATGATAGCTTCTTTGCAAAGGAGGAAACCAGCTAGCCGGCCTAATTCACTGACGGCGCAAATCCTGTATTGCAGATAAATATTCACATGAACAATTACAATGAGAAAAAAATTGAAGTTTTAAATTTTCCGAATTTTGACGATAGTGTTATAATTACAACAAATTTGTGATGACGTCATCAACATGAATAATTCTAAATATAGCGCAAAAGAAAAGTAGTCACAGCGTTATACTAATGTAAGAAAAAAAAAGGTAAGGGCCAAGTTTGGCATCGAACCACAATCGCAGGGTCGTCGTTGTCACCGATACATCCAATGCGCCACGAAAACGCACAATCCGTGTTTGTAATAAAACGTTATTACACCTTGCAAAAATTTAAACGTTTAGCAAAAAAACTGAAAGCGGATTCGTACACTAGAGATGGATCATTTTAAGTTCAACATGGTGAGACATCAGAATCTGACAACGGACTGTCATTCAGTAGCGTAACATGCACACTTCAGAAGGGGGGTGATTTTTTAAAATTTATTTTGTTTTTTTTTTAAATAGCAAACAATAACAGCGAAACATAAACTTAAGTGAATAATGTAAATAAATCTATGTATTAGGCACTAATCTAAACGGGTACCCTTACGTTAAAAAAAGTTCACTATGACAGAGAAACGAAGACGGACGCCTCTGAAGGTGCGCCCACCCCTAAAATTTGAAAGTGGACCAACTGATTTTGTGCTTCTACGCCGTAAAATTGTTGGTATTAAGTTTACTGATGATAATTTTCAAGGTCCTTCCTTTCTAAATCGATCGTTATCTAAAGTTAGTTTAAATGCCATGAATACGAGTACATTTAGGTATTTCTAAAATCTGGCACCGAGGCCATAAGAATGTTATATTTTTGGAATCAGCACGTCGAAATCTGTATCCCAAAATTTTTTGAAGATTTTCAAGCAATTTTTTTAAAACCAGATTTTTTCAATACTTGAAAATTTCTGAACATTTGGATCATGTTCAAAAATTAACCAAAGACGTTTTCAGATACATTTCGGCCTCCCGAATTTACTTTAGGTCTCATTTCTTTGATTAGTTTTCCACAATCTCCCATTGAAATATGAGAGTTTTTTGGATTTTTTTTAAATTGAAACGTGAATGACATCCATCAAAAAAACAAAAAAACTCTAAAGTCGTTATTTCAATTGGTTTTTCGAGGTATTTGGGTACAAATTTACATTTTCAAATATCTCATGTTTCATTTCATTTTAGTTTGGTTATTTTCGAAAAATTGTAGGAATTTTTGAAGAAATGAACTATAAACAGCTTCTAGAAGTCAAAATTACAAAACCCGGAGCAACCTCATGGTCAAAAATTATGAAAAAAAAATCATACATTCGTCAGAAAAAATAATCCAAAGTTGATGTTATAACTGGATTTCCAGATTTTCGGGTTCAAAATTAAATTTTTAAAATCTCTCAAATTTGTCACATTTCATTTTCGTAATCCTTAAAAAATTGAAGCAGTTTTTGAAAGAATTTCCCATTGAAAAATTCCAGTTTTTTGGATTTTTTTTTTAAATTAAATGTCAAACCGAATATTTCTAACATCTGGCCCCGAGGCTATAAGAATGCTATATTTTTGGAATCAGCACGTCGAAATCTATATCCCAAAATTTTTTGAAGATTTTCAGGCATTTTTTTTAAAACCAGACTTTTTCAATACTTGAAAATTTCGGAATATTTGGATCATGTTCAAAAATTAACCAAAGACGTTTTCAGATACATTTCGGCCTCCTGAAGTTACTTCAGGTCTCATTTCTTTGATAAGTTTTCCACAATCTTCCATTGAAATATTAGAGTTTTTTGGATTTTTTTTTAAATTGAATGACATCCATAAAAAAAACTCCTAAAGTCGTTATTTCAATTGTTTTTTCGAGGTATTTGGGTACAAATTTACATTTTCAAATATCGCATATTTCATTTCATTTTAGTTTGGTTATTTTCGAAAAATTGTAGGATTTTTTGAAGAAATTAACTATAAACAGCTTCTAGACGCCAAAATTACAAAACCCGGAAACACCTCATGGTCAAAAATTATAAAAAAGTCATACATTCGTCAAAAAAAATAATCCAAAGTTGATATTATAACTGGATTTCTAGATTTTCGGGTTCAAAATTAAATTTTTAAAATCACTCAAATTTGTCACATTTCATTTTCGATATCCTTAAAAAATTGAAGCATTTTTAAAAGAATTTCCCATTGAAAAATTACAGTTTTTTGGATTTTTTTAAATTACATGTCAAACCGAATATTTCTAAAATCTGGCCCCGAGACCATAAGAATGCTATATTTTTGGAATCAGCACGTCGAAATCTATATCCCAAAATTTGTTGAAGATTTTCAGGCAATTTTTTTAAAACCAGACTTTCTCAATACTTGAAAATTTCGGAATATTTGGATCATGTTCAAAAATTAACCAAAGACGTTTTCAGATACATTTCGACCTCCCGAATTTACATTAGTTCTCGTTTCTTTGATAAGTTTTCCACAATCTCCCATTGAAATATGACAGTTTTTTGGATTTTTTTTAAATTGAAACGTGAATGACATCCATCAAAAAAAGTCTAAAGTCATTATTTCAATTGTTTTTTCGAAGTATTTGGGTACAAATTTACATTTTCAAATACCTCATGTTTCATTTCATTTTAGTTTGGTTATTTTCGAAAAATTGTAGGAATTTTTGAAGAAATTAACTATAAACAGCTTCTAGACGTCAAAATTACAAAACCCGGAACAACCTCATGGTCAAAAATTATGAAAAAAAAAATCATACATTCGTCAGAAAAAAATATACTTGAAAATTTCGGAATATTTGGATCATGTTCAAAAATTAACCAAAGACGTTTTCAGATACATTTCGACCTCCAGAAGTTACTTTAGTTCTCGTTTCTTTGATAAGTTTTCCACAATATCCCATTGAAATATGACAGTTTTTTGGATTTTTTTAAATTGAAACGTGAATGACATCCATCAAAAAAAAACTCAAAAGTCGTTATTTCAATTGTTTTTTCGAGGTATTTGGGTACAAATTTACATTTTCAAATATCTCATGTTTCATTTCATTTTAGTTTGGTTATTTTCGAAAAATTGTAAGAATTTTTGAAGAAATTAACTATAAACAGCTTCTAGAAGTCAAAATTACAAAACCCGGAGCAACCTCATGGTCAAAAATTATGAAAAAAAAATCATACATTCGTCAGAAAAAATAATCCAAAGTTGAAATTATAACTGGATTTCCAGATTTTCGGGTTCAAAATTAAATTTTTAAAATCACTCAAATTTGTCACATTTCATTTTCGATATCCTTAAAAAATTGAAGCAGTTTTTGAAAGAATTTCCCATTGAAAAATTCCAGTTTTTTGGATTTTTTTAAATTACATGTCAAACCGAATATTTCTAAAATCTGGCCCCGAGAACATAAGATAGCTATATTTTTGGAATCAGCACGTCGAAATCTATATCCCAAAACTTTTTGAAGATTTTCAGGCAATTTTTTTAAAACCAGACTTTTTCAATACTTGAAAATTTCGGAATATTTGGATCATGTTCAAAAATTAACCAAAGACGTTTTCAGATACATTTCGACCTCCTGAAGTTACTTCAGGTCTCATTTCTTTGATAAGTTTTCCACAATCTTCCATTGAAATATTAGAGTTTTTTGGATTTTTTTTTAAACTGAATGACATCCATCAAAAAAAAACTCCTAAAGTCGTTATTTCAATTGTTTTTTCGAGGTATTTGGGTACAAATTTACATTTTCAAATATCTCATATTTCATTTCATTTTAGTTTGGTTATTTTCGAAAAATTGTAGGATTTTTTGAAGAAATTAACTATAAACAGCTTCTAGACGTCAAAATTACAAAACCCGGAAAAACCTCATGGTCAAAAATTATAAAAAAAATCATACATTCGTCAAAAAAAATAATGCAAAGTGGATATTATAACTAGATTTCTAGATTTTCGGGTTCAAAATTAAATTTTTAAAATCTCTCAAATTTGTCACATTTCATTTTCGATATCCTTAAAAAATTGAAGCAGTTTTTGAAAGAATTTCCCATTGAAAAATTCCAGTTTTTTGGATTTTTTTTTAAATTAAATGTCAAACCGAATATTTCTAACATCTGGCCCCGAGACTATAAGAATGCTATATTTTTGGAATCAGCACGTC